CGTATATGGGTAAACCATTCCTTAGTTTAGGTAAAACAATTGATCTAAAAACATAATCTACATCTGGTTTTTGATATCCCTCTTTGCACAAATACCTTATCACATAAAAACACTTATTGGCCTCCTGCAGCTTACCCTTGATATGCTCATTAAAACTGTGATTACTCTGTAAAGTAACCCCTAACACTTTCAGACAAGAAACTTGCGTTATATTGTTCACAGGGTCTATATCACAAGCAACCTTCTTACAAAGTCTTAGTTCATTACATTTTTTGGGATTACATGCCATGGCATTATCAGGGTCCAACTGAAAAACTGATTGACAACCTCTTGAGAAAGATCTATTTCATTTTTACATACTTTGACTAGTAAGGTATTGTCATCAGCATATTTAACTATGCTGGTAAGGTCACTATAGTAGTATCAGGCAGGTCGTAAGTATAAAGAACCTGACTGGACGTTAGACAGGAGAGTAACCCCCCTCCCCCACCCCACTAGTAAGGTATTGTCATCAGCATATTTAACTATGCTGGTAAGGTCACTATAGTAGTATCAGGCAGGTCGTAAGTATAAAGAACCTGATTGGACGTTAGACAGGAGAGTAACCCCCTCTCCCACCCCACTAGTAAGGTATTGTCATCAGCATATTTAACTATGCTGGTAAGGTCACTATAGTAGTATCAGGCAGGTCATAAGTATAAAGAAACTGACTGGATGTTAGACAGGAGAGTAACCTCCCTCCCCCACCCCACTAGTAAGGTATTGTCATCAGCATATTTAAATATGCTGGTGAGGTCACTATAGTAGTATCAGGCAGGTCATAAGTATAAAGAACCTGACTGGATGTTAGACAGGAGAGTAACCCCCTCCCCCACCCCCTCTTACCCTATTTTAAGGGTCCTTGGGAGAAACGATGGAACACTTACAACTTGCTAGAATTTCTGTTCACAAATTTGCTCTAGCTCATGCTAATTTCAACCAATCAAAAAAGGTAACAGCCTATATTTCTCACTCATTGATAAATGCAATAAAACTGTCCAAACTTTTCCTCATTGTTAGATTTAGATTTCAGAAAATCAGCTCACACAGTTACTCTCCCTGGAACACTGAGGTTCTTCTCCTTTCATGCCACAACCAAACTTCAGCAAATGGATGAAAATTACCTCTTTTATAGAGCTGACACAATTTCTGGTGACCCCATTCACTTGTCATGGGGGATTAAAACAGCTTAGGAGGACTTGTATCTGGTTCCACCAGGTTACAAATCCAGTACTCAAAGTAAGCACTTGGCTGTACTGAAGTTTGCCTTGAGCAGGCTGTCTGATTCTCTATTGGCAATTTTCTCCACAAGACAATTGTTGAGACAAAAGAAGAACGCGTATCTCGCGGCCACCCAATAGGCCATGATGTGCCTTATGCCGCCATGGGTGGAATCACAGGGTTCAGTTCACTGATGGACGGCTACATGCGCTTGGATGACAGTGGAATTGGTCCACCACCCTTGCATATGTTGGAGCAGCCAGTAGGTAAGAAAAAAAAAATGTTAGAGTTTCCTGCTTTCCTAGCTCAAGAACATGTTCACAAAAACTTTAGAACAAGCCATTAAATTCAAGCACAAGAGCTCTGTTTTAACTGGTATTCTCTTGTTTAGATATGTATAAAAGAAGTCTTTCCAAGAAAGAGGAAGGCACATGTATACTGCAAAGATATCAATGGATTTTCAATTTTGTTCTATTTCCCAGGACATGATGATCACCCTTTCCTCAGAGCACAAGCTAGTTTGGCTGGGCTGTCATTGGAAGATGGGATGGGTGCTGGTGCTGGTGTAGGGCAGGTGGTACACAGAACCACTGAGGAAGAGGACATGGCATATTTTGAGAAGCGTTACCAAGCCAGGGTGAGTGAAAGTTAAGGTAGCTCGCTCTGTGTTTTGTTCACATTTATGGGTTACAATATGTGAGAAGACAAACGAACATTTCTGGTATTACAGCTGAAGGCAGAAAAGGAACAGCCCAGAGTGCAGAAATCACCACAATCTAAGAGGTTGACAGGGCCACACAATGCTCAACAAAGCTTGGGGAGTGTATCAAGGAGAACTGGTCCTAGTAAAAGGAAATTAGCAACCAAGCCTGCTACTACCTCCCAAAGCCCTGGACCCCATGCAGGAAGGAAGAGCAACAGATGATAAAACATATTGAGTGTAGTACTGGCACAGAGTGAAAGTGTGTGTAGCAATGTGTACAAACTAAGGGAGAAAGGGTGTTTGTGAACCCACTCAGTATGTCCCATGCTCTAATAATCCCCCAGAAGGGGAGGAGAAGGGGGCTTATTAATTTCTGGGCTTTCAGACAGGGTACCTTTTTACCGGAGAAGGGGTGATTTTTAGAGGGGGACTTATTTGACAGGAGGGCTTTTTAAAGAGGGGACTGTTAAAAGATATTATTAGAGAGGGGGGCTCATAAAACCTTGAAGTTTTAGAAGGGGGCTTATTAGGGCATTGACTGTGAGCCCACATAAGTGGTGTAAAAGAAAAACAAACAAAACAAACAAATAAAAAACAAAGATATTTGCGAGTATTTTTTACACTCCACTACACAAAAAATTCAATACAAAGATAGTAATTTATTTAAGTATTTATAATCATAAATGTGCGCTTACATTGACTTTCTTTTTGCTATTTTTCACTGAGAAATAAAAATGTAAGAGAAAATAAATTACGCTACTTCTACATGATTTGCAATGGGAAATACACGATACACTGACATTTGAAAAGTGACACAAGTAAAAGCAGAGCCCAACTTGAACTAAGCAACTAACAATAAGTCCAGTTCACAGCATTTGTACAAGTTATTGTAAATTAAAAAGGCTGAAAAAGCATGATTCCATGTTAACTCCAGAACAATGTGGCTCTCATGCTAATGTTATTACACAAGACATCTTTGTAGTGAACGGTAACTAGAAACTTTTTACCGACATCAAATAAATTCGTCTGACGAATACAAATCTTGCCGTTAAGAAACGAAATGCTACAAATCTAATAGGCAAAGCGAAGAACTTGAAGAAACAACGACATGCGAACTGGGCGAGCATTTTGATCAGAAAAGTGCCTTTAAATCAAAGGGTTACTGTTAATAAGGATATAACGGTGGTGTTCAGTTGCAAAGAAACAAAGAAAGATCAGGAGATGGTCCTAGAAATACTTCTGATGAAATCAAATCCCAGTCGTAAAGCAAGTCTTTAACCGCACTGCCTCGGTACGTTGCCTAAGTTTTGCTCTTCAGTGTGTGCATACGAAAATGCATCTTGGAGTGGAAGAAAAAGGTGTTCTACAGCCATGGGTGCCATGCTGGATCCATGCGACATAAATTATCAGGACTGGTGGCCGCTGCTATCAAAGTTGTCACCTTAGTCTCCCCTCCCTCATATTGCGCCAAGTCTACAAAGAAAATGATAATTATGCGTTATTCAGTTGTTAGTGATGGTAACAGGACTGAGTCGAGTCCCAAGTCAGTCTGTAATATCAACGAGTGATTTCGAAATTGGACGACCGCGAAGAGGGGGTCTCATTTGTTAATCAGCAGTATGATTACAGACCGAAATGGACGATACGAAGTCCTGTTACTAATTTATGGCGTCAGATAGGGGACAAAATCGATCATCACATTTCGTGTTGTCGGAACTTCTTGATCCCGTAGAAAATTGCTCTTCGCGTCGTCGAGTTCCACTCTTCGTGTCGTCGTGTTTTCGTTTCGTCGTAATTTCGTATAGTCGTAAGACTTAAAGCTCTTATATCGTCGTGTTTTTGTTCAGTCGTGTTCTTCATTTCGTCGACGACGGTATCTCTAGGTCTGCGGTAACCCAACATTTTCCGCCAGTTTTATTCACAGGGGCCCACACTAGCGGCGTGTCTGGTCGTTTGTTCGAAATATAAAGAAATGTATGGGAGAATATTGAATATGGTAATATCGTAAACCTATATCAAGGAATGTCTATGTCTATGGTAGATTTTGCGTTTAAGTTATACAGTAAAGTAACAGTCAACGCAAAATCTACCAAATCGCTCAAATTCGCCATTTAGAACCACAGAAACGACAATACACAGCAAGTGAGGTAGGTTTACATTTATTTTGAGCCTTAACATAGACATTCCTTGATATAAGTTTACGATATTACGACTCTTCAATATTCTCCCATACATTTCTTTATATTTCGAACAAACGACCAGACACGCCGCTTGTGTGGGCCCCTGTGAATCAAATAGGCGGTAAATGTTGGGTTGCCGCAGACCTAGACATACCGTCGTCGACGAAATGAAGAACACGACTAAACAAAAACACGACGACATAAGAGCTTTAAGTCTTACGACTATACGAAATTACGACGAAACGAAAACACGACGACACGAAGACTGGAACTCGACGACGCGAAGAGCAATTTTCCACGCGATCATGAAGTTCCGACCACACGAAATGTGATGATCGATTTTGTCCCCTATCTGACGCCATACTAATTAACCATAACCATTACAATTTCCGAAAAAAAACAAAACACAAATACATTTATTTGAGAAAATATCTCAAGTAAAGACATTTTGTAATTTCCCCCAGTTTTGTAGGGTAAGTGGTTATTGCTATGATTATTGTAATCAATTTTGTGATTGGTGGATTTAGCTGAGTGGACATGGTATGACTGGCTGCTTTACTTGTCTGATTACTGGTGTCCGATTACTCTGTCCGATTATAACCCTTCAGAATAATTAGTGAAAAATAAAGTAGCTCAAGCACCAATCGCATTGGAGGAAAATGCAATGGTTATGATTAATTCGAATGTTTCATGGGCTAAGGTTGTTATAAGTGGTACCAACAGATAAGTTGGCAAAGACTTCGATTGTTACTTCGGTATCGATTAAGATAAGACGTGTTCTATTTCTGCAAGACATTTTGACTTACTCTGTAGCCTGGTGGTTATGGCATTTACTGCTGCATTCACCAATGTAATTAACAGCTCGCTGTCCATATCAGTCGGTGGGTTACTCAGGGAAAAGGCGTGGTTCTCGTCTTGTTCCTGCATTTAGAAGTTAAAGTGTTACATTTACTTATAACTTTCAAACAAAGCGTAAGAGATATACAACCAAGTATAACTTTTTATGGCCAGATTTGTAAACAGGTATGGATTTACAAAGTCAGGGGTCCATTTCTCAAATGTCGGGCCCGAAGCCATATTTCAGAATCAAAATTTAAAGAATAGAGAAGCACCTTGTTGCACTCAAACCAGTCCATTTTGTTTCTTAAGCTGACAGTCTTACTGTATTATTTTCCAAACTTAGGAAACTCCCATCTTGAATGAAAACTGAAGAGCTTTGAGGGCCCGTTAAGTTACCAAGACCTTCGAGGAACGGACCCCTGGGGTCTAAAAAAAAGTCGTGGGAATTACATACTTTTGTCTGAAATCAGGTCACGATTAAGCAAACCACAACCAAGGTTTCCAAGAAGCTCCTCCATCCGTCCTTCTGTCGGATTTTTTAAGTAGCTGGCCATGGATGTCGTTAAAAGCGGGATTCAGTTTATCTTTACTTTTTATTTCAAAGAGATGGAGGAAACGTTTACTTACCTTTTTATGCCAAGCAATAATCTCGTCCCGTAACACAGCTTTCAAGATACTCTGAATACTGAAATGAGGCTCAGCTAAACACCGCGCCGCTGACACCATCGCTGCCGTCATCACTCCATTCACACCGACCGGCGTTACAAACTCAGCAATGTTTGGAGTTAGTCGGAAAGGTACGGGACGGTTCGCGTCCAGTTCGCCTAAGGCACAAATGAAACAAAAGCACAACTCAGTATTGCAAAATTTTAACCATAAAAAGATTTACCAACGATTGATGTCTACCTTTGGTGTCGTCCAGCTCAAAACGACTGTAAGAGACAGTTAGTCGGCCCGAGTCCTGCGCAATTTGAAGCATTTCTGGTCCCAGCCTTGTAAGATGCAGAGTGAACTCGGCAAAACCAGAAAGAGCGAGTTGAATGCAAAGCTACAAAAAAGAAAGACAAGGTTCAGTTCACTCGGATATTCAATTGAGCAAAAACCAGTGTGAGGTCTTACGTACCTGTTTTCTGAAGGTCCAATAGTCAGATGGATCCTGATACGTGTACTGGGCCCATTCTTTGAGAAGGACTTCTGGCACCAGCGTGAGCTGCACCTCTCTGAGAATGTCCTTCAGAACCTGGTGAGTCACCTGGCAACCACGTGACTGCACAGAGGCGAGGCGCTCGTAGTATAACGCGATTGGTGCATCAGATTCCACGTATTTCTTGTCACAACGCTACGAGGAAAAACACTCGATAAACATGAGCGAGTCCGGCAAGAAAACAGAAAAATGGTACAAAATGCTCACTTACGTCGGTTAGAATTTCCCTGAGAGAAATGAAAGACGGATTGTCCTGAAAAATATTTCAAAACTGATTCAAAGAAAAGAAAGGTGAATTGACGTAATATAAATCGAAACGATCTTACAGCACTGCGTAGCTGATCATACCAAATCATGTGACTAATCATAGCAAATTGCATGACTTACCTCAATGAGTCGCATTTGAGGTGATACAGCCACCACACGCGGTACAGTAAATAACAAGTGTCTTTTGCAGGACTCCTAAACGAACAAAACAAAACACATCTATTCATTAAATAGGTATTCACTAAAGTTATATAGGTTGGGGAGGTTTTTTAGCTGTGTTCAAAGCATGTAACGATTCTACCGCAGAAAACACACGAGATCGAGGCAGTTGAGTCACATGAAAGGTACATGGGAGACGGAACTGGTATTTCCCTTGTTAGAGGAAATGAGAACGATCTTTCTGCATCGTTCTTCTTTATTCACAAACAATAGCTGTCTGTCTTCTCTAAAACTACATCACTTGTACCTTTCTCTTCTCCAAATAAAGATTTAGCAGTCTCAGTAGCTGAAGAATTCTCTCTTCCCTTCTTGATTCCGTCATGCACGCGTCGTTCACTACCAGGTATGGATAGATCTGAAAAGTAAAACACAATTCGACCAGTTGAAAACCAAGAAAGTAGCGCAATCTTTAAACTGATTTAAATTCTATGAACAACAAAGTATTTTTTTAATATCACGTATCATGAATATTCACTTTAATACCATATATGGTCATACCTTGCCATTATTACCGCGGATGTACAGGCGTCGAGCAGAGAAGTTGTGCTTTTGAACGAGTTCAACCCGCGGCATAAAGCGAGCAATCCTTATATAGTATGGACTATGCTGAAATTAAAATATGATAAACACATTTAAACCTTTTTTTCTACATCGAGATTAACCACATGTCACTAAAACAAGTATCTCTATCCAACTAGCTAAATTCCATTCCAAAGAAAGAAGAAAAGAACAGCTTTCTCTTTTTCAACTGACCGTGTTGACCTTGGGCATCAAAAACTCGCCAGGAAGTTCCACTTCTGCTGTAGAGGTCGTGAAATTACTCAGG